CCTTTAGAGGAGCAAAGTTAAGAACTACCTCTGACTAATTGTCAGACCATACAAACAGGTAAAGAATGTAGTGAGATATTTAAAGTGTCAACAGAAGAAAACCACCAATCTAGTAGTTTGTATCCTGCAAAATTATCCTTCAAAAGTGAAGGAGAAGTACTTTCTGAGATGATCAACTATGGAGGGAATTGTTGCCAGTAGAACCATGTGGCAAAAGTGGTCAAAGAAGTTTGTTTAAAAAAAAAAGCAAGAAAAGGATATAGAATGTATTTTAAAAGAGGAATAGCATTAGAGAAGAAATAAGTGGAGATAAAATGAAACTTATTTTTCTCATTCAGCAGCAGATAACAGTTTGTTTAAATTAATAGTAACCATGGTGTATTCCACTGTTGTAATTTATACCTAAGTGAAATGAATGACAGAAACGAAATAAAGGATAGAAGAAGGGAATTAAGAATACTTTGTGATTATATGAGCACTTGTGCTGTCTGTAAAGTCATATAGTGTTATTTCAACGTGAGGTTGGATTCATTGTAAATATATATTGTAAACACTAGGGCAACCCCTGAAAAGATGTTAAAAGAAGTGAAAAGAATCAATATGCTAAGAATGGAGAGAAAATGGAATCATATAAAATGTTCAGCTAATTTTTTCCATTAAAATATTTTTTTAAGTTTTATTCATTTTGAGAGAGCTTGAGCAGAGGGGAGGGGCAGAGAGAGGGAGGGAGAGAGCCCCAAGCAGGCTCCACACCATCAGCTTGGAGCCTGATGCGGGGCTTGAACTCATGAACTGTGAGATCATGACCTGAACCTAAGCAAGAGTCAGATGCTTAACTGACTGAGCTACCCAGATGCCCCCAATTTTTTCCAGTTTTACTGAGCTGTGAATGACAGATGCCTAGTGTGTTTATTTAATGTGTGCAATAAGATGTCTTGGTGTGTTGTGTGTGTGTGTGTGTGTGTATAGTGAAATGATTCTCCCAATTAAGTTAATTAACCTAAAACATCACAAAGGCAGAAAAAGAACAAAAGTCAAATAGAGAAAAACAGAAAAGAATCAGCAAATATGGTAGATATTAATCTAGTCGTATCAGTAATAACCTTGAATGAAAGATCAACAATCTGAAAACACCAATTAAACGGCAGTATGAATCAAGAAAGAAATCTCATCTACATGTTGTTTATAACAAATTCACTTTAAATATAAAGACACATAGATCAAAAGCAAAGGGATAGAGAAAGATATACCATGGTCATATTGACCAAAGGAAAATGGGAGTAGCTCTATGAATTTCACACAGAGCAAAGCTCAGATCAAGGAAAGTTATCAGGGATAGAGAATAGGCATTGCATAATGATCAAGGTGTCAATTCTCTAAGATTACACAGCAGTACTTAATAGGTATATGTTTAACAGCAGAACATCAAAATGTATGAGGCAAAAATTGTAAGAGAAAGTAGATGAATCCACTATTAGTTGGAGACATCTACAACCTTCTATCTGAAATGTAAAGATCCAGCAGGCAGAAAATCAGTAAAGACATAGTTGAACTCGTGAATATCATAAGTCAGTTGGACATGATTAACATCTACAGACTACTTCACCTAACTGCAGAGTACACATTCCTGTCAAGCCCACATGGGGCACTCACCAACATAGACCACATTCTGGGCCATAAAACACATCTAACACATATAAGAGAATAGAAATCATGTAGTTTCGGTCTCAGACAATAATGGAATTAAACTGGAAATCATTAACAAAATGACTGGAAAATAAGGAACACGTGTATAAAATGAAAACTCTAGAGAAGTTTTAAAAATCTGTTGTGAATGAAGTGAAATGATAAGACCACTTAACAAAAATTGTGCAGGTTTTTTATGAGCATAAGATACAGGTAATGCTTTGCAAGCTGTTGAAATGCAGCCAAAAGGGGCCCAGAACCCCTACCTTACCTTTACTGATGGGAAGTTTCTTTCTAGTTTATCGAGGAATCAGGAGCCATTTTCACTTTGGCTTCAGTCTCTCAACCCTTCAGCACATCATGGGAAGAACTGACCCTTGTTTCCCATTCCCACAGTCTTAACCTGCATTGTTAAACCTAAACTTCAGTCTCACCGAAGAAACCTGCAGCTTCCCAAACATATTTGTACCATTGGCTCCTAACTACTGCCTCCCCATGCTCATCTGGACTCCTAACACCCTCATTGTGGTCTAAACACCCTGTGGTTTACTCTGATATCTTACTGTCGTCCTTCTAGTTTTAGTACTCCCAGACACTCTCTTCTCCCAGCTCCTCACATCCCCAGCAGTAGCACAGGTGTGTTCCCAAGAGCAGATGCCTGATTCATATTAAGGGAATAAATGGGTCAGTGAGCATATTAGCCAATTGACTGCGATTTAATTTCTTATAAATTCTTATGCTAAGCAAATCCAGGTATGTGTCGTAAAATTTTACTGAATAGGAAGATAGGAGTTGATAATCTTTTACTTTATTTTGCCTTTTCTTGACTCAAATAATTTTACTGCTGAGTTACTTTATGAAGTAACATCTATTCTGATGCCATGTTGTCCTGTTCTAGATTCACAATAGTGAGGAAGTTTTTCCAATTTGATTCACAAACTATAAAAACTTATACTTGTAAACTTGACACATGTAAGTGAGTGTGTGAAGAAAATTATTCATAAATTTATAGCAAGAAGGCAGCTATTTAAATCATCTCTTGGGAGGCTTAACTTTTGGAGAAGGCAGTCTCAGGTATGTTGAGAGGGAGAGAAATGAAGATCTCCATATTTCCACATAAACAGGTAGATGAAAATGACATGTATCTGTGGTGAAGGAGGTGACCACCAGGCAGTTGGAATGCTCTATGTCCGGGCAAGAGCAGGTGACACAGGTTTTCAGTTCCTCTAACAATGGAGTGCAGCCATCAGAGGAAGCAAAGTGAAGAATTGGTCAGCAGGTCAGGGTCCAGAGTTGGAAGGAGGGCACACTCAGGAAGTCCCAGATGAAGGGTTCTCTAATGATGGAAGGTGCTAGAACTGGACACAATACCAGGTACTGGGCAGAATTAGTTCTCAGTTGGACCTTAGGAAAAGGAGACCCAAAGTGTAATCCACAAATTATGACTTGTTCTCATGTTTACCTTCCCTTGCAATAGGCCTGCTTTTAGGAATTTGGTTTCCAGTGCCTTCATACTGCCTGAGGTATATTTTAGAAGAGCGAGTGAGTAAATAAATTAAGAGATGGAAGGTGTGCCTTGGGTGGGGAGAAGTGGAATGATGTGTCCTCTAGGCAAATTCAAACCAGGGATCTAGTTCCAGCTCTGGTAGTGACCCTTCTTTTGAACTGGAGAAAATTGCAAGTTTTTCATCACCCAAGTGAGTTTGGTAAGCTCGATCTTGCAGGATTGTTGGAATGTATATATGTCACCGCATGATAAAATGACTAAGAAATATGACCCAGTACTAAAGAATGGCGATTACTATGATCTTGATCCCAAATGATACCACCTACCTCCTTTGTAATTTTTTTTAATCCAGGAAATGTCAGAATATGCAGTATTCTTGGACAGGGAACAGCACCCAACCACAAATTTACCTGAGCTGGTAAAACAAACTAAAATTTCCCTACTAGATCACCTGTCATTTAATTCAGGCACGGAGTTGTCTTTCTCAGTTGGATGCGAGTCAAGTTCCTAGAAATGGTGTCAAGGTACAAGTTTTCCCATGTCTCCCAGGAGCCCTTCCATCCAAATGACCTCTGTTAACACTCATTATCACACCCTCACCAACGGCGAGTCCTTGCTTAGAGTCTGCCAAAGTGCATCCACGATAATATAAGTAAAATGCCCTCTTAATGAACAGGCTGTGGCTCTCCCAACTCCGGGCAAACAGTGCCGGCACAGTGGCGTCTCACCTGGAGTGGGTATCACCCTTATTTCTGAGAAACTCCATGAAGATGTTGTGGCTAGAACACATAGCTTGCACACTGGAATGAAAACACAAGACCTCTTCCTTTTCTGCCCCAGGTGGAGATTTCTCTTTGATTTACCCATAATCCCAAGATAACTCATAGCACCAATTTTTTATTACAGACTGAGTGTGTCCCCACTCACCAAAATTCCTTTGTTGAAGCCCTAACACCCAACGTGAAGGCAGGTGGAAGTACAGTGTTTGGGAGATAATTTGGGTTAGACGAGGCCATGAGGATAGCACACCCATAATGTGATTAGTGTTCTCATAAGAGCAACAGAAACAAGAAGTTTCTGTTTGCCACATCAGGATACGTGGACAAGATGGCAGTCTTCAACCTAGAAAGAGAGCTCCCACCAGAAATCAAGTATGCTGGCATCTTCGCACTGTGAACTACCCAGCCTCCAGAACTGTGAAGACATTCATTGTTTAAGCCACTCATTCCATGGTATTTTGTTGTAACACCCTAACCAGACTAACACTGGGCTTTCTCTTTCACTTCCCAAGTATACTGTTGAACGATCTGGCCTCCACCTACTAACTCCACAACCTCAACTGTGCGTACCACGTACTGTAAATGAAAATCACATCCCACTGAGGACTAGGAGGTTCCTAAAGTCCCAAGTTGTGTTGCTCAGGAAATTTCCACTTAATTGTTCTCATAAGGACCACTTCCTCATTGTTTTTACTTCACCTGTAGCCACAGAGGTATTTCAGCATCTTACTTGTATGAGTAGAGCTCAAAGGCTCTAAAACTCTGTGAGTAGAGACCGGATGCCTTTATATTAGCATCTGCAGTGCTAACACTGAGCTTTCCAGTGAGCAGATAGATACTCATTGTGTGATGAACACAATGATTAAACACACCATATCATTTAAGATTTTATTCATCTTTATTGAACAAACTTAAAGTATGAACTAAGATTTATCTTTATTGAACACTCTTGAAGTATGAAAAATTTAAAACTATAACATAAAAACGTTTGTAAAACTAAAAACTAAAAGAAACTAGAAAACTGGATTGACCATGTTTGAATTTTTTTTTTCTATTAATCCTACCTATTTTACTGTGAGACTCTTTCACATTGCTAATAATCTAATTCTTACTCTGATGTTGTATTTTCTTGTCTGGTGGTTTAGAAACCTCAGATTTCATTAGAGGTTGGAAGATCCTCCTGGTCATCACACGGGAAGGGGCAAGGACTTTGGTAGTAGCGCAAGCCCTGGTTGCACCTCTGGCTTGGGCTCTCGCTCCTTCTTCTTGCAGAACCTGTTCATAATAGGCTGGGAAAGCAGTAGGGATGGCATAATTGACTTTAGACAAAAATTGCAGGACTGTCGTCTTGGTGGTTTCAACTAGGGCTTTCGGACCACCCAGGAACTCATGGCGTGGAGGATCACTGTTGGCCACCTGGCGGTACTCTAGATACTCCAGCCTCACCAAATCTTTGGTGATGAGCTTCCTGGGCTCTCCATAGATGAAGTGCTTCCGCCCAGGATATATTCGCATCATACTCAGGAAT